GACCTGGGTGGCGGGGATAGGGTGGCAGCCCGGATTGGCCCGCAGAGGGGCGGAGGCGGGGCTGCAGGGAGGAAACGCAGCCATGGCCGCCGCCGCCCGCGCGCGGGTCGCGCACTTGCTGAAGCAACTGCAGCTAGCAGCGTGAGTTCGGGGCCCTGAGGGCGGGCGAGGGACCAGAGGATGCCGCGGTGCCCACGCGGCTCCTCTAGGTACGCCCTGTCCGGCCCCGCGCGTTCTTCCTAGGGTCACTTTCAAGAACGTGGGAAAGGAGGTGCCGCAGTGCGCGCCCGCTGTGCGTGGAACCGTGCATGGGCCGGATGGCGTTGTCACGGCGTGTGCGGTACAGCCTGGCACTGCGCGGTGAGGCACGTTGTGGCCTGCTTGTTCTACGGTTGAGGAAACTAAGGCCTAGAGAGAACAGTGCTTCCTCACATGTCACAGGCAGTGGCGGGGCTTGGCACAGTGACCAAGAAAACTCATCATATTCAATCAACATTTGTATTGGGTGTATGTTATGTGCCCAAAGCTGTTATAGGTGCTGGGTATACAAAATACAAAAATTTCAAGACTGGAGCAGTTTCAAATCTAGTAGGGAATTGGATGAGGGGGACAGGGTTTGTAAAACCTGTGCAGAATGCAGCAGACAGATTGTGTAGAAGAGAAAGGTAAATGTGAGAGATCACCTGGAGCTTCACTCCCGGGCATGTGCAGGGAGTCAGGGCCTTAAAATGTTGTGACATGTCTGACTGCACCTCCAGAAATGGCAGGTACTAGTAGCCCCCTGATTTATACTCGTTGAATGTGTAAGTGCACAGTCACCCTAGGAAAACATGGAAAATTTTGAGCTAACAGGTGGAGATAAGGGGACTAGAGAAGTATTTCAGGCGACAGCATGGCAGCACCAGAGGCAAGCGATGTAGATCAGAATCTAAAAGTTAAAGTCAGGACCTACCTTCATAGGAGGTGAGGGTGGGAAACACAGATGGTCAAAGACTGGGAATAAGAAAAAAGCATTTATGGGGCACTTACCATGTGCCAGGCAGTGTCCTGCAGTTTATATGTACTTTGATAGTAACTTCAATTCCTTACAACAACCCTGTTCCATACCATATTATTATCTTCCTATTACATATAAAGAAACAAAAGCGTGGGGGAAAATAATGTAACCAGTGTCACACAGCTAAGCAAATGGCACAGCCATGATTTGAAGCCAGATATTCTTGTTTCACAATCCTTGTTCTCAGTCCTTGCTAAGGAATTTGAATTATGTCCTATAGCTAATGGAAAGTTAGGGAAGCAATAGTTCTCACTGTGAGACATTACCTTGAGATGCTCCATGAAAAAAGAATTGGGAAACTGCTCACTGCTGCATAGCCCTCTTGAAAAGTCAAGATATATATTAGCACATGTAGGGCTCTGAGAAGTCCTGCAGGAGAAGAAAAAAAAGGGTTAGCTATATTTAAATTCTATACAAAACCTGTTTCATCATGGAACTCTTTTTATCAAGCAATACCATTCATATCCCTTGGAACCAGTGTCACATAGAACATGTTTTCAGAATGGTTTCGTGGAACCATGACAAAGGAAGATGGCACGATTAGAATTAAGTTAGAGCTTTCTGGTGGTAGTGGTGACTGGAGTGGAAAGACTAGAGGTAATTGTAGTGCTCTAGCCAAAAAGTGATGGCTTTAGGCACGAAGGACAGGCAGCTGGTATAAGGGTTAGGTATGAGAAATCAGAATCAGCAGGATTTTGTATCTCGTTGGTAAGACAAGGAAGTTGAGGTTTCTGGCTGGGTCATCAGGGTAAACAGTGGGGACAATTTACCAAGATAGGGACTGTAATGGGACTAGCTTTTGGGAAAAGATAACCAGTCTTGGGCATTTTGAGTTGGATATGCCTCAAGTATGTCCAGGTGAAGAACCCCAGCATGTAATTGAATATATTGTTCTGGAGCTCAGGAGCAGGTTGTGGATTCATTCATGTGTAGAGAGAACAGTTGAAACCACAGATGTAGAAGCAAAGGCCTTGGCAAACTGTAAACCTAGAAGAAAAGGGCTAGGGTTGAAGGCCTGGGGAGAAGCATTGTTAAGGCAGGAGAAGCAAAATGGGGCTTATTTGTTCTGCACATGTTTACTTTCTTTAATAAGGTAAGCATTTTAAAAGTGGGAGATTTCAGATAAAAATCTTAGAAAATTGGGAAATAGCATCATTCAACCCACATTTCATCTAGAGGAAGTCTGCCAGAGCTTAGGTGAAGTGGTGGCCACCCCCTTGGTACAGGGCAAGCATTCCAGCTTCCTGAGGGACCCCAGCAGAGCCCACCCTCACTCCACACAACAGCTGTACTGACAGCCAGCCTCCTTAGGCATTTGAATTTGCAAGTGATTTGCACTTTGAATAGAGGAAAAGGAACCGGCATTAAAAATTAGGAGATGTGGCCAGAAAGGTGAGAGAAAGCCAGGAGGAAAGGGGACATCACATTCATCACAGATTTGCAGTGTTCTCATCCCTAGGGTGCAGCAGGGAATAAAACAGCCTGACATCCTTTGAGCCTAAGGGCACAGAGTGTGGTCCAGACAATAAACTAGTACGAAAATTTAGAGTATATCTGATGTTGATAGGTATTGAAGAGAAAGAGAAAGTGAAGGGGACACAGGGGTTGGAGGAGGTGATGCAATGTTAGAAAAGGTGGTCAGAGAAGGCTCACTGTATTAGTTTCTTGTCACTGCTCTAACAAGTTACCATGAACTTGGTGACTTAAAACATACATTTATTCTCTTACAGTTCTGGAATTTAGAAGTCCAAAATCAGTTTTACTGGACCAAAATCATGTATAAGCCAGGGGCACACTTAGACCCTCAGAGGCACTAGGGGAGGATCCGTTATCTGGAGCTGCATTCCTTGCATTCCTTGGCTTGTGGCCCCTTCCATCATCTTCACAACCAGCAGCTTGGCATCTTGCTTCAGTGGTCACATTGGCTATTTGTGTGTCAAATCTCCCTCTGCCTCCCTTTCATAAGGCACTTATGATTACATTTTGGGCCCACCCAAATAATCCAGGATGATCTGTCTCAAAATCCTTAATTTAATCACATCTGCAGAGTCCTCCTTGCTTTATAAAGTAATGTTTGCAGGTTCTGGGATTAGAACCCAAATATTTTGAGGAGCTCAACCCACCACACTCACTGAGAAGGCAACTGTTGCAAAAGACCAGTGGAGGGAGGGAGGGAGCCATGTAACTCTGGGAAGGTACCTGGAGGTGGAGCATAACTGGCATGGTTTCAGGACATGGTGATGAGCAGAGTGAGTTATGATGGGGAGATGAGGTCAGAGACTTTGGGGACTAGGTGGGGGAGGCCAAAGATCACCCCAAGGTTTTTTGTCCTGAATAACTGAAGTTGTCGTTAAACTGGGATGGGGAAGAAACTTTAAGGGAAGATCAGGAAGTGAGTCCTAGGCAGGGAAAATGTGAGACACGTCTAATAGACATTCAAGTGGAGGTGTCAAGTAGGCAGTTGAATCTGGAGTTCAGGCGAGAGGTCTAAACCAGAAAGATAAATTTGGATATCATCAGCATAGAAGGTGTTCAGTCAAGGCCATAAGACCAAGTGAGGTCACTTGGGGAGTTAGTGTGGAAAGAAAGGTGTCCATAAGCTGAACCCTGGAACTTTCTGGCATTCAGAAACAACAGCATGAAAAGAAACTGGGCCAGGAGCAGCCAGTGCAGTAAAAAGAAAACCAGAGAGTATGGTTCTGGTAACCTAGGGAAGAAAGTGTTTCCAGAGAGAAGGAAGGGGAGAGGAAGATGCCACTGACAGGTCCAGTCAGATGAAGCCTGGACTGACGACTGAGTGGTGTGTTAGCAACATGCAGGAAACTGGTAACCTAGGAAGCTTGTCATAGGAGCCGGGGGCAAAGGCTGATTGGGAAAAGTTCCAGAGAGAATGGAAGAAGAGAGGGCAGAGAGAGCAGGCATAGTCAGCTAAAGGCAAGGAGAGAGGGGGAGGTAGCATTGCGAGAGGGAGGAGGGACAAGAAAAGGTTGTTTGTTAATATAATATGGGAAAAATAACATTTTATGTGGTGGGTAAGATCTACTGGGAGGGAATTTTTTATGACAGGCGAAAAAAGGAACGTCGGTAGTGATGTCCTTGGGTATATAAGATTTAGTGCACGGAGGAGGGGTTGGCCTTTGCCATAAGTATGGCCAGTTTATCAGTGGTATCAGGAGGGAAGTCAGAATAACTGGGCCAGAGACAGAAGTGGATAGATAAGGACTTTGCTGTAACTGTGGTTTTCTCTGCTTCTCATGAGGAGTCAGGAAGCCTGTCAGTGGTTTCAGGCTATCCTAAGAAAGTGGGAGAGTCCATAGTCTGTTCTCCCCACCCCAGGTCAGGTTCTGTATCTTGGTACACCAGGAAAAGAGAAAAGAAAGTCAGAGGAATTAAAGTGTCTACGTTCATTTATTCATTTACTCATTCATTCCATCAGTTTTAAGGCCTTACCTTACACCTGACACTATGCTAGCCACTGCAGATTAAGTTGTGAGAAAATGTAGATCTTGCCATGCCATCACAAAATTTACACTCCAGAGGCAGATGGAACAGGAAACTAGCACCAACAGTACAGTGTGCTAATAGTTTTAATGAAGAGGGGCCCATGGTACTGCAGACCACAGTGACAGGGTATCTACTCAGGACCTTAGGCCTTAGGGAAGGAAGACTGTGCAAGGGAAGTGACATCTGAACTGACCCAGGAAAGGATTCTAGTTACCCAGTAAAAGAGGAGGAAACATGTTCCAGGCAGAAGAAATAACAAGGACAAGGTTCTGGAGGCAAAAAAGAACTTAAAGGAAAAGAACAGAGTTGATTTTCCAGGATATCAACCCCAGAGATGGAGCAAGATGAGGGGCCAGACTGGAGAGGTTAGCAAAGCCAGTGAAGCAGAGCCAGGTTTGAACTTTATCCTAGGAGCCATGAGGGTAATTGAGGTAATTTTAAACAAGGGAGTGACATCATTGGAAAGATGGCTCTGACCACAGGGTGACAAAGGCAGAGCTGCGAGAAGACTGTTAGGACCACCATAGTAATCAGACAAGAGATGATGCCATAACTAGAGAGCGGCAGAGGGCCAAAGAGAAGTGGATGCATTTGGACAGGTAAATATTTGGGACCTTGACGCAAGGCTGGCTATAAAAGGTGAGGGGTGAGCCCAGGATAGAACCCAACACTTAAGGAATGGGTAGAATGAAAAGAAGCTGGAAAAAGAATAATCAGAGAAACCTAGCTGAGTAGGGAGCCCTGGAAGCCAGGAAAAACATTTCACCCACCCAGGGTGGGGGTGGCCCACGCATTCAGTGCTGCTGCAGCAAGGTGCTGGGAGGTCTGAGACGGGAGGGTACAGCAAGAAAGCTGGGACTTGTGGAGACAGCAGGCAGATTTTCGGGGACAAGGAATGTGTGGGAGGCAAGGAAATGGAGCCAGCTAATATAGACAGGATGGGCTGAACCAGAGGGTAAACAAGCAGGAGAGAACAAGAAGTTGTGAGTTTTAGGTGTGAAATTCTTAAATATGATGACAAGGATCAGGTGAGGGGAAGACAAGAAAACACAGGACAGAAGGAGGTCCTAAAATGCAGGAGGGGATGGGGTTCAAACCACAAGTAAGGAACAGGAATGAGGAATTGAGGTAGACCAGAGCCTGAAAAATATAAAATAAAAAGAGGTGGGGGCGGGGGTGGAAGGATGCATGTGCTACCCCCATCCTATGCAAAGGAAAGCTTTGAGTTTGGATTTTTTTTTCCGCTTTGCCTCCGTTTTCTTTTCCATGGAGGGCCTAAAGCTGGAAAAGCCCTCAGAAGTCAAACCCACCTTGCCTGCTTTGATTTCCCCTGAGGGTTGAGAACAGCGCGAATGCTCCTGCAAACTTAGCTCTTGGCTGTCTCAGCTCTAACCACGAGGTGGCAGCGTTGGATCGTGGCGACACTCAAACCGCAGTTCTGACCACCTTTCTCAATTTTTTGAGGTCTTCACCACTATTGAGGTCACCCCTTTTCCTTTCTCATATTCCCCCTCAGATGTTTTCATTACGCACTTGAATGGGGACGTTGGTTGAGGTGGGGGTGTTACACACTATATAACAAGGTCCCCTGGGCAGTAGAGCCAAGGGTAGAGAAGCGGGGTGAGAACTGGGAAGCCGGGAGCGCGTGCGGGCCGCTGGGCAGCGCGGGCGACCGGGAGGGACCAGCGTAGAGCGAAGGGACAGCGGTGCGCGCTGAGGATGGTAGGGAAAGGAGGGAGGCGCCACGTGGTGACCAGGGAGGCCGGCAGGCCCCACAGGGCTTCTTGGAAGAATTGGCCCAGAGCCTGTTTGAATTAGAATTAAACACCTGAAGACAAGGAAAGTTCCCCGGGTGAAGGGGGTGGGAGAGGTTAGGCTCCTGAGCAGTTAACCTTGGGTCAACGGAGGTCAAAGCTCCTAAATTAGTGAGGGAGCTGGGACCTCACGGAGACCAGGGCCCCCATCTTAAACTTACCTGTATCCTCAGAGTGCTTATCTCAGCTCCCTGCAGGCATTTACTAAGACCTGCTCAAATAATTCATTAAAAAAATGATCCTACAATACTGGAAAGACTCCGAGTCGACTTTCTGTCCATGGTGATTCCTGGGGTTTGCTATGCACAGCGTTTGCTAGTAGCTACCTTGTTAGCATCTTAAGACTAGGATGCAATGTGAGTTACTTCAATGCATCTTATCCTTTAGTTTTCTAGTTTCATTTTACAATTTTTCTTTTTTTTTCTTTCCCCTAGCTGCCAGTGCCCGACCCATTCTCATACTTACTCCCAAGGTAATAATACATTTTGTGTTTTTAAACTGGTCACAGTTTCCAGTTCCACAGTTGGCACTTATCATACATTTGGGCAAAGAGTGAAATGAGAAAACGAAGGCATGTCAGAGGAAGGTTGATGAAAACGGTTGTCTTTTCACTTGAAATTGGCAATTTATAGTTGTAATTGTACAGTGTTACTTGAATATAGGCAACTGATTATGTGTTTGGCTCAAATATATACCTAATACTGTTTATAATATTTTTCTATTTTAAATAGAATTATTTGCTAAAGCTAAAAATGGTGGCACAGATAGGATTTTTAAATTGTCTGAATTCCTCAAACAATTAATCAAGATAAAATCTTTGGAATGTTCTAATATACCTCAAAACAGAAAGACTGAAGAACAAGGTGGTTCCTGAAGACAAAACTCATTTGTATCAATTTTTGAAAAAATAACATTCTAATAATTAAAAATAATGACATAGTTTTCCATTCCTACAAATGTCTTAATCCTTACCAACTCCATTGTCCATAGAACAGCAGGAAGCTCATTGTAGCTTCAGCATGTCCTCAGAATGTCACATGAATTACTGACACAAAAATTAATTTCACTTCTTAGAAGGAACGGTCAAATCTACACAGCACTGTGAGAGACTGGAAAGGAGGGGGCCTGCCCACACAGGATCCTAAGCAGAAACCCACAGAGAAGCTTTTTAGCGAGTAGAATAGAGGGTAACTCCCGCTGGCAATGTGCCTCACCATTTAAGGCAAAGCAAGGAAGCTTCTAGTCATTAATGGCCATCTACTAGACAGAAGCATGTCCAGCCTTTTTTAGGCCCTCACAGACCTAACCAGAATTTTGTCTTCAGCTGCTTTTCTCCAATTTTTAATTAGTTTCAACAAAGAATCAGTGATTTCCTATTTGGAAAATAAAATTAATAATTTAAAGAAAAATAATCTCATTGTTTTTTAGGATTTGATTTATGTCTTTTCTGAAACTTCAATAATAAGATTAATAGATTATTTCTTTAAAGCTGTTAGGGATCAAAGAGAGAGAATTTTGATAACGGATACCCTTGCCCTCAGGGAGCCAAAGGTAGATTGTTGTCTAGTTGTGGTCTTTCTGTAAAAAAAAAAAAAAAAAGGTAGTGAAAATTGTTCTGTGAATGTTTTTGCAGTCTTTTTTAGACTGATGAGGACTGATAAAAAAATAAGTAGATAAAAAGAAGGATAAAATTCATTAAGTGGGGCCATCTTGTTCCAATATGATAGAAAGTCATTTTTGCCATGACAAAAACCTGAAACATTACAAAGAAACATCAGTTTATAAAGTTTTTAAATTAAATTTCACGAAGATAACTAATTTTTTTTACATATATAACCTTGGAAAATGTAAATATCTTATTGTGATAAGTAAGAAAAAAATCTTAATTCCATGGAAACTCCATGGAAAAAAATCAGTTCAACGGTCACAGTTAATTTAAGAAGTGTAAGCAGGACTTCCCCAATCAATGAATTTACTAAAAGTTGTTCTCTGACAATAACCCTGCTCTAGAGTCGGGAGGATTTTTTTTCTAGAGGATTTTTACACATTGTTTTCAAAAGTATGTTTTAATTTCAATGGAGAAAATATTTTAAATAACTTCATACAATAAGCATCAAGTCAGTATTAATTTCTCTTAAAATGCAGGCATTTAATTTTAATTTATACAATGAAACCTGAAAAATGCATTTTAGGTAAGACTTCAAGGGAGATGCTTGTGTTCTCTGTGGGAATACCAATTTACCATCACATTACAATGTCATTGCTGTTTTTGAGGCTTACTCTGATGCTAATTTTTACATTTCTAGCTCCTGGACTTTCACCTTCTGGGAAAACAACAGATTATGCCTTTGAGGTAGATTTAATCAATCCATTCTTTAATGAATGCCTGAAAAAACCCACCTTGAGTATTTTGTGGATGCATTATCACCTCATCTGAAACCTGTTATTAACAGATGTTCCCTAATCCCATTATTTGGTTAGGCAAAGTACCCTGTTAGGATAATGGAAAGTAAGTTTTCTGATAACATGAGTAATGCCTAGAATATTGTCTTTTGTACACCCATTAAAATAAGACAAATTCCTGGTTTACACAGACTTTCCAACTTACATATGTCGTATGTTACATCTTCTTTAGTTTTGTAATTTTAACAGTTTCCCCCGCACCCCCCCCCCCAAAAAAAGAGGTCCAGGTAATCTTTTGAAGCACAAATAAAGGAAGAATCAATTCTGATTAATTTTTATCATACTATAATTACATAATTACTCATTCAAATCCTGGCTGTTCCTTGTTTAAGAGCTGTGAATTAAAATGTCACCAGAGGCCTGACAGATAACAACAGGTCCATGAGCAGTCTGGTTGAAGACAGGGCTCATTTTACCAGAGCACAAGTCCTTCTGAAGGGTGCGGCATGCACTCAGTCCTGCGAGATTGCTGCTGCACAGGAATGCAGGCCCAAGTTGCCCAATTATTCAAGAAAGGGAGTAATCTGGACAGTTGCTTTGGGCTTTTTCATTCTTGATTTTCAGAGTTATCAGCCAAATTAAAAAAAGAAATTTAAGTTTAATGTGGTTCAAACAAAACATAAAATGACCAAAAGTGGCCCATCATCCATTAGCGTAAAAGTTCTTCTCTCATCTGTAAACTTTATGAGGCCATGTTTCTCTTGTTCACAGCTGAATTACCAGAGCCAGCACAGTGCCTGAAACTTAGCAGACACTTAGTAACTTGGGTGGGTAGGAGGATGAATGGGCAGATGGTTGGAGGGATGGATGAATGGTTGGATGAGTGAATGAAGGGGAAAAAGATACACAGAGGAGACATTTAAATTGGAAAATAAGAAATTTGAGAGTTAATGTAGGTATGGAGGCAAGGGAAGGCAGGCATTTGAAACTGGGGGAACAATTGAGAGTTTATGATGTGTTTAAGAAAAGATAATTCCATTGAGACTGGAGTTAGGTTAGCTTAAAGAACTTCGATGAATCTTAGGGGAAAAGGGGCATGATCTGGAAGGCCATGCTAAGAAATATGTACCTTAGTCTGTAGACATTAAGAAACATTAAATGAAATGGTCAATTCTCTAGTCTTAAATCTAAATCCTTTTTTTTTCAGATGGCTGTTTCAAATATTAGATATGGAGCAGGAGTTACTAAGGAAGTAGGAATGGCAAGTATTTAAGATTTTGACAGTCTTCTATTGTAAATGTTACATATCTTTTAAAACAAGTGCAAATTGACAGCAATTGAGTCCTTCATTTTTAGGAATGTACAATGTTAAGTTTGCCAGAAGAGTCTATACAGTGCTACTGCAATCAAACCTAATTTATAAATTATTTTTACTATTGTAGGACCTACAAAACATGGGTGCTAAAAATGTTTGTTTGATGACAGACAAGAACCTCTCCCTGCTCCCTCCTGTACAAACAGTTATGGATTCCCTAGTGAAGAATGGCATAAACTTTAAGGTTTATGATAATGTGAGGGTGGAACCAACTGATAGAAGGTATCTTTTTAGGGCTGTTAATTAAGTGAAAACCAACACAAATTATTGTTGCTTAAAACTTTCCCCAGGCTTCATCTGATATTTTTATTTCTGAAAAATATGACATAATGTCTTTTATTTTCCCTTCTCCAAGCTTCATGGAAGCTATTGAATTTGCCAAAAAGGGAACTTTTGATGCCTACGTTGCTGTGGGTGGTGGCTCCACCATGGATACTTGTAAAGCCGCTAATCTGTATGCATCCAGCCCTCACTCTGATTTCCTAGATTATGTCAATGCCCCCATTGGGAAGGGCAAACCTGTGTCTGTGCCTCTTAAGCCTCTGATTGCAGGTAAAGACTGTTTGTTTGTTTGTTTGTTTGTTTGTTTGTTTGTTTGTTTGATTTTGCATTTGGCAAAAGGCCTTGGGAAAGATACAAGCCAGGAATTTTAGGGCGTATATTTCCAAAGCTTTCTGATTTCTTCATTTCAATATAGCACCTTGTTTGGAGATCAAAACATAGCAATTTATTTATGTTTAAAATTCTCATCTTCATTATTGCACAGATAGAGACAATTTGGGTCAGTGGTAGGAGAGTTTGCAGATTTAAGCTATGAAGTCACTCTGTGGAGTTGGGGGGCCAGAGGATGGTCATAATTTACATATCATTAGATCCCTCTATTGACAGGTTTTTCTTCTAAACCCCTCTCTGTTTTGTCCCATTTTGCCAGCCACTGTGGAATTTAAGGGGTATATTCACTATTATTTCTCTGGTGTGACTCAACCCTTTCTTCCACATAATGGCTCTTCAGCTGACCTGGGCCTTTGTCTCTGCCCTGGGACATGTGGCCAGCATGGCAGCATGTCCCTGGGCAACATCTGCTCTTTGGCTGTTTGGGGGACAAACGTGCAAACCCAAATCAGAATAGCTTGTCTCTTCCCCACAGATCTTGAGATCTTTCAGTCTTTTCTTCCCTCCTGTTTTATGGCTGTTAGCATATTACTGTTCAGAGTTGTATAGCTAAAATGTACCAACTGGTAACTGGAAAATATCAGTGTAAAGTTTTGTCCTCTCTCTTCAGCCCCTCTTCTGCCCTCATTGTGAATAGGCCTTGTGATGGGATAGGAGTGAGTTGATGGCAGATGAACTGCTCTGACATGAATGAGCAATCAGCAGGGAGCAGCATAATTGATGGCGGACAAATGGAACCCTCTCGTGAAACTGTGTCAGCATCACCCAGAGGGTGATTAGTAAAGTTTAAAAACTTGACAGAACTACAAAACCGCAGAGCCCATCAAAGGCAGAGCATTACTGTGCTTGCTGCCAAAAGGGAATAAAGATGTCTTTTAGAGAGGCAAATATGAGTTTCCTTGCTAGAGATGCTGAGCAGCCTGCATTTGAATACCCAGCTGCAGCTGCTTAAGCTCTGGTGCTAGAGGAGTCTCAGGTCCCCAGAACTCCTCAGTGTTAATACAGAAATAGGCATCACACATAAGTATTTAAAACACATGTGTGTTAACATAGACATGGACATCATACATGCATGTTAACACAAACTCAGTTCACCCACAGTCATCAAAGTGCACACACCTGTTATACATGTTACGGCAGACATGGACATTGTACATGTTAAATATGCATGTGTATTCATGCAGGCACTGGTGCCACATATGTTAATCTGGCATGTTAATGCTGACAGGCATCATACTGTTATACACACATGTTAATGCAGTCACAGACATATGTATGATGCATATATGTATAGTTATACATATACAGACTTTAAGCAAGCAGTAGGAGCAACAAAGCTTCCTTCTCTCACTTTGCTCCTTATTTCCTAAAGCTGAATTAAGTATCTCCACTCACCTTTATTGAGATGCTTTATTAAAATTGGAATTATTTTGTTCAAGTCCCAACTACGTCAGGAACTGGGAGTGAAACTACAGGAGTTGCTATTTTTGACTACGAACACTTGAAAGTAAAAACTGGTAAGAACTTCGCCCATGAAAAATAATTTTTAAATTCTCTTTTACCTTTCAACCACACCCCCTTTTTCTTAATTAATATTTAAAAATCAAGGAGTTATGGAGTTAAGGAAAGAGTATGTGTATATACACATTTTCCTTCTTTTCTCAAGTACATGTAAAAATATGAAAAATTTAATAACTTCTTTTTAAGAATTACCTACAAAAGCATATTGAAATGCCAAGAATCTGGACTGGCCATTTTTCTGTCTAAGTTAGTGACTGTATGTCAATGATAAATGGTTATTCCCTTTCTCAGATATCTTTTTACATTTTAAATTAATTTCATTGAGATACGATTTTTATATAATAAAATGCAGACATTTTAAAGTCTGGTTTGATGACTTTTGACAAATAGATACACACAGATAATCACCACCCCAATCAAGGTACAAAACATTCCCATCACTTCAGAAAGTTCCCTAATGCCGCTTCACCACCAGTCCTCCCAGCCCCATTTCCAAGTAACCACTGTTCTGCTTTCGATCTTCTTTGTCTCAGCTAATGTGGGAGAAATATCCCTCTCCTTGAGTCTGCTCAATATCCTTCCAGGCCTTTGTAGCAGAATAAATGGATGTTCAACCACACATTTATAGTAACTTCTTTTTTAAATTAAATTTAACTGTCCTTTGACATTATTAAAGATAATAATAGTAACCAACACTTAATTCTACCTTTTCAAAAATTTTTACATATTATCTAATGCAATCCCTAGAGCAGCTCTGTGAGGGATGGAAGCCCTGTGTTGTTATGGTTTAATCTTACAGAAAACTCAGAGGAGCTAAATGACTTGCCCAAAGACACAGAGTAAGTTGCAGAGCAAGGACCCAAACCTGCAGTGGGCTAATAAACCAGCTCTCTGGAATTTAATCAGCATATAAGCCCTGATTTGTAGCATTTGCCAATTTTGTGGCATAAACACTCCCACCATAGCCAATGATGTTACTTGCCCTGGAGCTGGGAAGAGCTGTATGTATTTGGCTCTTGCAAACCTGAAAGAGCTTTAGCTCCACTAAAAAACCCAGATTTTTGACTCCAAACATCTTCCCACTGCCCCTGCTGCTTCCCTACATGAAAATGAATCTTATCTTTGTAGGATAATTTGTTCTCCTAAAGTTACTTAATTTTTCTTTTAATGGTATGCATACCTATACCACTATTGAAAATCCCTGTCTTAGGTATTGCTTCCCGAGCCATCAAACCCACACTGGGACTGATTGATCCTCTGCACACCTTGCACATGCCTGACCGGGTGGTCGCCAACAGTGGCTTTGATGTGCTTTGGTAGGTACCAGTGCCACCTGGGGGGCACTTTTCAGTACCTAGGTCTGTGGACAGTATTTTCTTGCTGAAAGCACTTGCTGAGCATTCATTGATTAGCGCTCAATAGCACCCATAGCTTTGGGGGACATTATCCCCTTTCCTAGATGAAAATATTAAAGTTGTAAAAGTGGACGACTAGGTGAGGTCCGGGTGAACCACAAACCTGCTGCCCAGGGTGGACCACCCCAGCTACAGCTACAGCCACAGGGACACAGCATGGAGATCATTTGGAGCTGGCGTGCAGCACCTCAGAGCTGCAGCACCTTCTCTAGGGCCACACTGACCGGGGAGCTCCCCGGGCTGCTGCAACATGGGAGAGGGCAAGAAAGGGGGCTAACATTTTCCTGGGCTGGACTGTGCTCACCAGGTCTGCAGTCTGAACACATCTTCATTTCACCACAGCTCTGTGCCATACAAAAAAGAAAACTGACTTTGAGATGTTGGTAACTTGTCCAGTGCCAGACCACATGCTCCCTGGGCTTCAGCTGCCATATGTTGATGGTTCTCTAATCAGTGTTTCTAACCACAGGCCTTGTTCCTGAGCTCCAGGTCATTCATTCCAGTGGCCTCACAGAGGTCCCACGGGCACTTCACACTCAGCAAGTCCCAGTCTGCCCTATTTGCACATGCCCATTCGTCCACATTCTAATATCTCTGAGATCAGAACATATCTTAAAATCTGTGGCATGGCAGGATGATTTCCTCCTCATGGTACATGCTGTGTTCAAAAGATGGTATCTGCTTCTCACATGTAGAAGAGAATAAATCCTCTAGGTCTAAAAATTTATACAAAAAATAGTTCACATTATATTGTGTTCCCAATGCATCATTGATCTAGATGGTTATGTTCCTTTTCATCTTCTGCAGTTGATTAACTAGAATTGATGGCAGGACAGCAAGTAGAGGAAACTCTGAAGCTTTGTTCCTGAAATAATCAATCCTGAGTATAGAGCATGTAAGAAAAAGGAATCAGATTTATTTTTTCAGCCAAGAATTAAAAATAATGGTGGATTATAAGTTTTACAATGTTCTGGGTACTATTCTAAGTGCCTTACATATGTCAACTCATTTTTTTCACAGAAGCACCATGAAGATGTACTATTATTTATTCCCATTTTAGAGTCACAAGGAGATGGTGACACACCCCCAGGCCCACAGCAGGAGGGTCTAGTGCTAGGATTCACACATGGGCGGCTGATCCCAGGGGCTGTCTTCTCACCCACGATACCATACTCCTAAAAGGACACTAGGTTAACTATGACCCTTCTTGGATAATATGACCTTTGATCAATGCAATGTATCAAATGGTAAATATATCCTGCGAGGAAATCACTTTTTAGATTCAGTGCTATTCTTCATGATTCAAGTGTTTAAAAATTCAACATCATGGAGACTTAATTTGCACTAGAAAGGGGCCATATGTAATCTTACACATACATGTCAAAAATACTGTAGTACTATTAATATAAACTTCACTGTGTTAATTTCTGTAATAAGCAGTGACTGTTGTGGACAAGAAGCTGACTAGTGGAATATATTGTGATTATCACCGCTACATAGCATATCTGCAGTGGTGTGACTACCAAAGTTTCTAAGACAGTTTGTAATCTGAATGGAGAAAAGAAGGAAGAGGATGTTTGCAATCTATGTATTTTAAGTATTTCTTGTCAGCCACGCCCTGGAGTCCTACACCGCCCTTCCCTACCACATGCGGAGCCCCTGCCCTTCAAATCCCATCTCCCGGCCAGCATACCAGGGCAGCAACCCCATCAGTGACATTTGGGCCATCCACGCACTACGGATTGTTGCTAAGTATCTGAAGAGGTATGTCGCCCAGAGGGGATAGAAACAGAATAGAAACACCACATTCTACCCTCACGTAAAATACTGCATCCCAGATCCTGAAATATCCTAAACAAGTCTGTTCACCAAAGATCAATCAGAAGGAAGAAGCATCAGGGCCCAGCTAGCCCTGCGAGATGGGGAGGGAGCCACGTGAGGACAAGTGAAAACTGTATCCTTCACTCCAAAAAGGTAAGGCTGCAAAGGGACAGAATATGAGCCCCTGGTTTATAGAGGATGCAGATAAAAGGCTTTATCATCAAAGCCTCAAAACCAAAGCTAGGGTGAGGGAAGATGTCCTTTGAGATGTGGCTTCCAAGGGCAAAAAGAACCACAGAGGCAGAGGTTGGCTGTGCCCATCCAAACACTGCCCAAAGGCACACAGAATCAACCTATTGAGCGAACTCAAATGCACTTAATTTAAGAAATAAATGTATAGAGTCCCGTCTGCCCCAGGAAATACAAAAGACTTCCTAAAAGGTTTTGAAAGATTTATGAATGACACAGCTGTAACAGGCTCCTGAGAGCAAAGATATACTTAAAGATGCAAGCTGATCCCTCAGGCACTGAGACACATACAGTCAGACTCACTATTGTACTTACACATAATAGAGGGGAAGGACACTGCTGATCAGGCCTACATGTAAGCACAGTGCCTCCTCTGGCTTTGAGAGGGGACTTGGGCTGCATCCTATAGTGGAGCAGGAGAAGGGACGCATAACTATTTCAGGCTTGTAGAGACCATCCAGAAGCATGGCAACTTTTGACTGAGTAGAAGCAGTTACAGATAATGGTCAGCCGTTGTGTATGACAGGGACAGGAGGCTTGGCAGAACAGCAGTGGGCGGTGAGGGGTTAAATGGACAGAGGAAAGGTGGCAGCTCCATCATCTGCTATTTCATCTGGCTACTCAGGGAACAGGAACTAACGGGTTTTGGAAAGGAGACAAATGCCTAAGCAATCTAAACGAAAGGAAAAAAGCCTGTGGCCCTCATAATAAAAGCCCTTACTCCAGGCAAAATCATGATAAGGCAAGTGAGAAGTGGTTCCCTTGGCAGTCCTGGGCTTCCTCCCTGGGGCAGGGCCTCTGAGCAGTGTGTGCAGAAAGGCTGAGCTGCATCTGAAAAGGGCCTTTGAGAATTTGCTTTTCCAAAATGGCCTTGGGGACAGCGAGAGCAAGCAAAGGCTCATCCTACAATAATATCCCACTTTCACAGTAATTGTTCAATAACGCGCAGTCCCCACAGATACCAAAAGAGGCCCCCAGTGAGTCTGATTAGGGCAGTGTCACAGGAAGAAAGATGGCAGGGCAGGCTGCGTGTAGCTTGCAAGTAGCCCCCGGCGACAGGGACTCAGCACACCAGGCTTGGGCCTTGTGCCTTCTGATTATATGTTTACTCTAAGTCCATTCACGGCTGCAGTCAAGGCCATTGACAAATGAAGAAGAAGAATGAGTCTCCCGGCATTTTTCTAGAGCAGCTCTCAGAGTCCAAGGGTCAGTGATTTGCTTCCCCTGGCACTTTTATCACATGAGCAGCCTGACAGTGTATTTATTATGCCTTCACTGAGTTCACTGATGAGAAAATATGTTTCCCTTCCATTTTTATTTAGAAGACAAGCTGTCATTTGAATAACTTGCCTAATTTTTCTTTTTACTGAGCAGCTTTTCTTTTTTTTTCCAGATCTTTCCCTAAGGTGGCTCTTTGTTAAGTAGGAAATGCCTATGTTGATATGCTATTGTTAAGTATTTATATCATCCACAGGGCTATCAGAAATCCTGACGATCTTGAAGCAAGGTCTAATATGCACTTGGCAAGTGCTTTTGCTGGCATTGGTTTTGGAAATGCTGGTGTTCATCTGTGGTAAGCAAATTTGATATTTTGTTTCATCACCTAAGCTATTGCTTTTAATTTGTGTGTGTGTGTGTGTGTGTGTGTGTGTGTTATAATTTAAGACAGGTGGTAAGATTTAAATATGCTATAGAGAGAAGAAATTTAATGTAGAGTCCCAGAATATTTTTAAAATTCAAATGTAGTTTATTGGATCATAGATTTTTTTTGATGTCAGCTTTATTGAGATATAATTCACACACTGTTTATTCACCCACTTAAAATGTACAATTAAGTGGTTTTTCGTATATTCACAGAGTTGTATAACCATTACCACAATCAATTTCAGGACATTTTATCACCCTGTAAAGAAATCCCATACCATTTAGCTGTAGCCCTTCAATCCCCCAAGTAGCTACTACTCTACTCTCTGTCTCTATACATTTGCCTATTCTGGGCATTTTATATAAGTGAAATCATGTAAGATGTGGTCTTTCATGTCTGGCTTCCTTAGCTTAATGTTTCCATGGTTTATCCATGGTTGTATCAGTATTTCATTCCTTTTTATTGTCAAATAACATTCCATTATATGGACATACCACCTTTTATTTATCCATTCATCAGATGGTGGACATTTGGGATGTTTCCACTTTCGGACTATTATGAACAATGTTACTATGAACATTAGTGTACAGGTTTTAGTGTGGACATATGTTTTCTTTTCTATTGAGTATATACCTAGTTGTGGTGTAGCTGGGTCATATGGTAACACTATGTTTAAATTCTGAGGCACTACTAGACTTTTCCACAGCAGCCGTGCCATTTTCCATTCCCACCAGCAGTGGATAAGGGTTCTGATTTCTCCACAGCTTTACCACATGTCATGAATTTGTAAAACTTCAAATTTTTCCAAATTTTTTTTCCAAATGTCTCATGAAGAGAAAGAGATCAAAGTCTTTGTCAGTAGTCCAGAATTAATGTGTTTGATCATAACTTCATTGACACATAGCCTTAAAATTGAATATCATTGAGCACTGGGAATTAAGAAGAGGCTTTGCAGGGGCAGTGCACTGAAATGGTCACCCTGCAACTCTGCTGCTGAGGAGAGCACAGACCAGCACCACCTTTCCAAAAAGCAAGTGAGCAGAATTTACCCAAAGCTTGAAAAATGTATGCTTATACCCTTTGGCCCACTAATTTTACTTCTAGGAATGTAGCCTAAAGGAATAATCATGATATGATCAAAGAAATTAGTTATAAGGTTATTCACCTAAGTGTTGTTTATAATTGAAAATTTTGGATGGAGCCAGCCTAAATTTTCAATAGTTTGGGAATGGTTACTAAAGTGTAGTATTCAAAGAATAAAATAAAGCTATTAAAAATGTTTTAGAAGACTAGAAAATGGTATGGAAAAATGTTCACATGGAATATTAAGTACCAAAAGTAATGTTTAAAACTGTATGGGCAATATTATCGTAAATTAAAGATATACATAAAAAGACAAGAAGGAAATAATCCATAATGGTTATCTTGAGGAAATGAGATTACAGATCATTTTTACTTTTTTATAAAGAACAGATGCAATTGTTAAAGAAATCAAACTAAAATATTGGATATTGTTAGAAAAGTACTTTTGAAATCTACATGAACCCTTTCACATCATGAAAGGACACTAAGTAATAATTTCCCAAATACTATGGAGTCTGAGAAAGATAAAGCACATTTCTAAATGCCCCATAATTCAGAGAACTGATAGCTTCCCATCTTCCTTGTGGATAATCATATAGTCCACCAGAGTAATTCATCTTTCTATGAAATGTAAATATTTTGGTGAATAAGCACAAAGTTATCTAAGAACCCACATTAAAAGAGTTACAGACCATGCATTTCATTTTCAACAAATTAATTGTAAATACATTAACTTCGCACAACGTACATCTTCTGGGTCACCTAGAAAATTATAATACTGTCCTGTTTGTTCACTAAGAATTCAAAAGGATATCAAGAATTTTTCCGTTAAGACAAAACAAAAAAAAAAACAAAAAAAAAAACCCAGGAACAAAAATCATGGTACCCTTTCTTGGTAGCCTTTCAGGCTAGAGTAATCATTTATGATCCAGCTCCATCAGTATGTAACATTGAAAAAGATGTACCAATCTTTGACAGGATAGATCACTGGCAGGTCAAGCTTGCATGTCTAGCATAGCATATCTTAGCTTGTAAAACTCCCACCGACATTGTCAGCCTGTACAGAAGCACACCGCCAAGGCAGTGCAGAGCAAAAGAGAAAGCACATACCCTGGAGCTTATTGAAGAAACTTCAAAGTGAATCCTCAATTTCTCCAAGATCATAAGGAGCAAATTCTGTGTCGACATTTTTTAACAGCATACAATTCTATGAGCATTTGAATTTGAACATTTCAGGTTTTCATTAATAGTAACCCAAATGTCGGGTGCATAATAATACATTCTTGTATCGAAGTAAACAGGACATGTAACTTTGTGAGGTTATGATACTGTCAAGAGACTGTGATGGACGATCTGCCATAAGAGTATCTTTGTGTTGTTGAATTTCTCACACCTGCATGTCAACATATGAACTTTCTTTCTCTTCTAGCCATGGGATGTCTTACCCAATTTCAGGCTTAGTGAAGACATACAAAGCAAAGGATTATAATGTGGATCACCCACTGGTGGTAAATAATCATCACATATTCTTTAATTAAACCTTATATTCCTTGCAACTGTTCTAAGTGTATTTGTCAATTCTGGATTGCTTGGAGTACAGGGTAGAGCAATTTAATATCTAGAATATGCAAGCTAAAGACCAGCTTTGCCCCACCAGTCACTGCATTTCTTTTCTCTCCAGCCTCACGGCCTTTCTGTGGTGCTCACCTCCCCAGCAGTGTTCACTTTCACGGCACAGACGTCTCCTGAGCGGCACCTGGAGACAGCAGAAATACTGGGTATAAACCATTACTCATAAAGCTCTGGTCCACATTCATGGAGATTTCCTAGGGTTGCTTCTGAAGATAAACCATAAAGGGCGATACCCATAAATGTTGCTTTGAGAGAGTTTAATAATAAATGTCAGTGACCTGCTCAAAAAGTCCTATCTAGACTAAATTTCTGTGATTTTGCTTCTAATAATCAATTAACAATGAAATGGAACCAAATATCACTATGTTGAGTTTGTAGTAATATTATTTCTACTGTTCTCATCCTCAAAGAAAGTAAAACTCTTCACATACTGTTATGTTATAAATGGCTTTTGCTGTGTTTAATAGCTAATAAAAAAGTCTAAAACAGGAAGTAACAGTAAATTCCCAATTATAGAGAATCTAAAAAACTAGACATTTTATAAGAAGAATTTGTTTGCTGCTCTGTAAAATAAATAATGTTTATAACAAGATGCCCATGGTGCCTTTAGAATCTTTCAAGAAATAAAAGTTCTACTTAGGATAGCTTTAGTGCTAAGTCAAATTTTGGTATTTTTCTAAGACAAGAACTCTTGTAAGTAGACTTGAATATTTGATTCACTTTCAAAACATCTATTCCCTTACTTGCATTTAGGGTAGGAAGGGAAAGGCTGAAAAGAAAAGTTCATTATGCTCTTCTAGCTCCAGCCGTTGGAAAGATTATTTCCAGGAAGGTAGAAATGACCACAGACATCCTTCTGCGTGTGCTGCTTCACCTCTGCCCCTCTCACTCTCTGATGTCTGTGCGCTCGCAGAGTTCCACGAGCTGTGCTGGAATGTTAATGAAAGAAGCCCAGGGCAGGGAAGAGATGCAGGGGGCTTGATTTCCAGCATGTGCTACGGGCAATATGGAGGCGACTTTACCAAAGATCTGGCGTCCCTTTCCATTTCAGAGTGGGAAATGAGAGGATGTTGCTCATCTGTTTGTTTGGATTCAGAGTAGGCAAACAGTGTAAATAGGAAGCTGAATGTATGGTAAATGGGAAAATCTTCAAGAACTTAAAGCTAACATTCCAGGCAATCAACTAAATTACTGAGAATGCAATTCCTGTTAAGCAAAACTCAGGCTGGAAGAACCCATCGATTCTTCCTTCTTGCATAGGAAATTTTGTTTAATATTATTCCATACTTAGCCATTAAATATTTTGGTTCCCTATGTAATCTTAGATTCACATAGCTTTATACCAATGTATTTTCTTTCCTACCCTCTCTTCCCTCTCTTTTTTTTCTAAACAGTTCATAGAAAAACCCAGAGGTTTTGATGGTGTGTTTTATAGCAGCAATCCCCGGAACATAAAAACCTCATAACCTTGTATCATGTTCTCTTCTGTACCTAATCCATATTTTACTGCCATATAGACTGGTCTTGTCAGGCAAGGTTTACCTTCCTCCATCTGCTCATCCAACTAGCCCTGTATCTGGTTCTATTTATATCTTTTCTTGGATTGCTTAAATAGTTCTCACTGTCATAAAAGAGAAAGATTAAAACTGATTTAATCATGTGCTTCAGTATTATTCAGTAGGTGAAGAATACATTCTAATCTCCTTTTGAACAATACAGAGAAAGTGCACTTGGACAATAGCATGAGGCATTTTGGATAATAAATAATGCTATATTACATTTTTAGAGTGCTTCACTTCCTGGCAGTGGATTAGTTCAACTAGAATAGGCTGGGGGCAGGAGTGCTGAGGGTTTGGGATCAGTTCCCTTCCTCTGGAAACTCTCAGAGCTACCTTGCCTGAGGGCAGAACCTGCTGGCTCTTCCATATTGATGTCTCTATGATTCTGTATATTAATTATTGATTATGTCCAAATTCTGCCCTCACAAATCTCCAACCCTTGGCAACCTTTCTCCTTCACCAATTATCATCATTATCTATCTGTTAAATGCTATTTTCTGAGAGTCTTCATGTTCTTAGTTCTGCCTGACTGGTTCTGTAATATTTATTTAGAGGATCTTGCCCTGCCTTTGATAACAGAGTCCAAAATAAGTTTTGTAGCTATATATGTCTTTTCCCAGCCACATATAATCCATTTTTATCGTTTTCCTTCTTTTTGGAAGTTAATGTTGGAATTTCTTTATATATATATATATATATCCTTGTCTTACAAGGTGTTTATAGAGGGTTTGTGTTTTCCTAAAACATTACTGTGAGAAAAGACATTGAACGCATACAACTCTAGAAGTCAGCAAACTCCGAGCCTTGACCATTACAAAAGCTGTGTTTTCTCCTACAAAGGCTCCATCCTCCTCATCAAATACTAGCCCTCTTTCTTGTCTCCTTGTGCCCCTTTTCTTGGCTCTGTTTCTCTTCTCACCGCACAAGGTGTGCGCAACTCACTGGGAATGTGAGAGCCAGGTTAGCCGGCCCAGCTGACTTCTCTGCAGAGGCTCTTGAGAGTCCACAGGCAGCCTGGCCCATCTGTCCTCTGCAGGGTGACTGCTAGACGGCCTCCAGGTGGAGGCACAGCTGTGCCCTTGCCCTCAGTGTTAGGAAGCCAGCAGCAGGCTGTATAGTCAGCTACCCTGTGACTGGATTATGCCCAGGGCCACCCTCCTCTCCCTCTCCAGTCAGTGCTGTGTGTCTTCCAGGAGCCGATACCCACAGTGCCAGGATCCCAGATGCTGGGCCTGTTTTGGCAGACACGCTCCGGAAATTTTTATTCGATCTGGATGTTGATGATGGTCTAGCTGCCGTTGGTTACTCCAAGGCTGACATCCCCGCGTTAGTGAGAGGAACGCTGCCCCAGGTAAGAGACGCCGAGCGTCGTCTGCCCTAAGTAGCACAAAGTTGCAGGATAGCCAAGGTCCACTGGGCAGATGAAAGCCCAGGGGCCCTCCAGCTGCTCTCAGGTGCCCCATACCCATGGGGTGTGAATACAAAGACTCCCTCACCTTTATATTCTTCCATAAAACTGTGGCTGTGTGAAACTTTTACAATGTAGCTGAAAGGATCCTTTATAAAAATTCAAGGCAAAACAACCAATTTATCTTGAGGTATGGCAGAATTATTTCCCTTTTCTCCATTTCTGCCTTTTTAAGAGTCCCCTGTAAAACTATGTGAAGGTATTCCAGAAAGGCCACTAATATTATTTTCCACTATAAAGAGTTACAAAGTCCTACTACTTTGTGAAGACTAAACATGGCCTTTAAATTAAGACTATTACAAAATCACTTTTTAATATATTCAGAAGACTTTATATTTTATACATATGCATATACATATGGATACATATCTGTGTCTCTTTGAGTCTTGTTTCATTTATTTAAATGTCCCTAAAGAACTTAAACTGCACTGCCATCCTTCACTTGGTAGAGTCATACTAGATGTAGAGTTTCCCCTCCCAAGGTTCTCATAAAGAGAGATTAGTCCCCATTTGACCTCTCTTCCATTTAGATACCCTGGTGCTATAGCATCATATCATAATAATCCAACACCCTGTTCCCTGAAATTCACTGCAAAATAGACCACTCCACACACACATACCCAGAGCACTCACTTTGTCCTCCTGTCCAAAAAGGAAAGTTATGGATCACTTAAGCACTATGAGGCTATGAGGAGAAGACACTTCTGCCCAAAGTTGAAGCATTCATGGATCTATCCCTGATATTAGGACAGAGTAAACAGCAGGAATAGCCACTTGCATAGCACCCTGCTCACCACAAGCAATGGAGCTTTCCCCTCACCCCACTCCAGTGAAGCAAGGGCCTCACACTAGCTTCTTCTCCTCTTAGCAAGTGCTTAGAATTTTGAAGACCTTATTGCTCACATAAGATAATGTTTGCATGGATTGGGTTCACTGACTTACAAGTAAGTCCTCAGGAGCCCAGCAGGTAATAGCAATGAACAAAGAAATTTAAAACAACAGGGAGTGGTAGGGATTTTGGCAAACTGAAGAGCACATGATCCAGCTCATTCTATAAACCCCTTTTCAACCACAATTTATTATTTCTAAGCAGAAAGTCAGGTCCCAGCATTAGTAGAACTCCTAATTTTTAAGAAAACTCAGCAACCTGGATGTTTGTATTGAATTCCCTGATTTCCCAATGTGCAAACTAAACATGGCCTATGGGCCACCAGCTTCCCTGATTTAGACTCAGGTCTAGTTGACTCAGTTTCATCTGAAAATGTAAATGAATGTGAAAAAAACAAGCCTCAAAATACAGTAGAGACCCTAGACTAACTCATAAACCATCATTTCTAATCCACAAATCCAAGGGACTAAAACAGCCAAAAAAATACAACCATCACATTTATTTTATCCAAGCCTACTAGGCTATAAGCTCCATGAATGCCGGAACCTGATTGTTTTCCTCATCCATCCTCTATTGCACCTCAAAGGGGCTAGTAAACATGTTAAATGAACACATACCTGAGGCCTCTCCAGTATTCTGTCTAGGTGAGTTTAATGGCTGAATGGTGGCTGAAAGTCTAAGTTTCCTTAGACTTTATAGAACTCAACCAATGATAAGGAGTCGTGAAAGCCTGTCCAGGGACCCAGAGACCAAGTAGTCCACCACAGTTTAGCCTCTGGCTCTTACAGCATGGTCCCAGTGAAAGTGTCCATTCTGTAAGAGGTCCTCTGAAACATTCTGCTTGTTTCACCCAGAAAAGTGTTCAGGAATATGTCTTTGTCAACTTGCAAGACTGGCATCCATGATTTTCAGATGAAATTGTATGATGTTCTCAGCTGTATAATTGCTGGTGGCAGTGTATCTTCAAGCCCCCAGTACATACTGGCAAGTGCTTCTGTTTTACTTCTACTGTACTCAGACTTTCACTTTCACAAGCTATCCCAGACAGTAACAGTCCCAGTCTAACATTTGAGAGCATCCTCTAAAATAGCAAATTAATTAAGGATCATTCCAAATGCCTCTTTGCACACGTCATACTGGAAAATCACAGAGAGCAAAACTTTAATTAGACAAAAACTAATTTCTCAGTTTCACCAAAGATGCAAGGTATATTGACTCTTCTGAATATAAGCTGTGTCTATAAAGTAGGAAGTCAGGACTTCCTCAAGTTGTATTCATAAAGCCACGCCAACACGTATGCTGCCTTTTTTTTTTACCTTGAATGTGTTTTCATGAATGGGAAAAACATAGTTAATTTCAATTAATCAGCACTAGTTACATGCTGGAGTCAATATTAGATGATAGATAGGTATGGGGGGAGTTGCTGGGAGAGATTATAAGAGAGGTAGAGAAAGAGACTGATTCACAGGACTTCAGAAGGAATCTTAGAAATAGGCTTGTCTGTTTGCAGATGAAGAACTACTGTGGGGTTCTTTGTTTTTTTTGGCAGGAGTGAACATTTTATAGGAATGCTATGGCAACTTCAGAATTTTATACATATGGCAGACTAATCTCCACTTACTAGTATCTACAGGCTTTAAGGCAGTGAGAGGGATATCCTGGCTCCTGCAAAGAACATTGACAGAATGGTTTCATGTAGTCGACATTTGATAAAGCTTCTTTTATGTTCAGCAACAAGGGATCGGTTTTCTCTGGAACAACCAGGCCAGTATTCTTGCCCAAACACCACAGCCCATACTGGTGGCAGCAAATAGCAGCCCTGTGTGCAGAGGCTTCCAACCGCCATAGCCAGGCTGAAACGGGAGCCGGCAAGAATAAATTAATCTTCCAGGCAGGATTTCTGAAACCTCTGGAAAGAAACATTTACATTTCAAATCAAAACATTTCATTACTAAGGAGAGTTGTCTACCAAAATGAGGACTTCCACTCCCTGGCAGAAAGGCCAGCTGAAATGTTGTTATTTTATGAATGTGCTAAAAGTAGTAGTCTGGATTTAGTTCAGTGCACACATTAATCGGTTCTCCTTCGGTCTTGCATGTCTATAAATAATAGCCCACTACTGAACACGACTTAATTCTGAGTTTAGCTTTTATATGGCATACATGAGGTGTGTGGGGAAATGTCACAAACTATATGTCCTTGCCCCCATTTAAGCAATTGTTGGGGGTGATAAATGTGAAACGGAACCCCAGATCAGCTTGGCCTGAGGTGCTTCTGAGAGTCATGAACCACTTCACCAGAAATGAACAGGATTGCTTCAAGGGCCTTTGAGCTCATCATACAAGACGCTCTCCTGTTATAAACAGAATAATGTGGCAGTAATCTCTGGCAATAGCAAAATGCTGAACTTCAGTTTTTTGGGCCACAAAACATATACATAGGTCACCATGAACAAGTCTACCTTGCTATGAATTTTCAAAATTCTTTAGTGTCTAAATGCCACCTTGGCTTCACCCATACTCATTGACATTGTCCCCCATCCTTCTGCCATCTGTCCATCCATTCTTCCTTTTTCCAATTAAATTTTTAATTGTGGTAAAATATACCTGACATAAAATTCATTATTTTAACCATTTTTAAGTATACAGTTCTGTGTCACTAAGTACATTTACAATGTACTATCCATTTCTAGAACTTTCACTCACCCCAAATAGAAGTTCTGCTCCATTGCTCAATTGTAAACACTAACTCCCCATTCTCTCCTTCCTCCATTCCCTTGTACCCTATCTCCTACTCTCTGTCTCTATGAACTTGCCTATTCTAGGTACCTCATTAAGTGGAGTCATACAACTTTTGTCCTTTTATGTCTGCATAATGTCTTTACTAAGCATAGTATCTTCAGTATGTCAGAATTTCATTCCTTTTTGTGGCCAAATAATATTCCATTGTAGAGATATACCACATTTTACTTATCCATTCTTCTGCAGATAGACACTTGGGTTGTTTCCACCTTTTGGCTTTTGTGAATAATGCTGCTATGAACATTGGTGTACAAATACCTGTTTTCATCCCTGCTTTCAATTCATTTAAGTATATACCTAGAAATACAACTGTTGGAGTACAAGTAATTCAATATTTAACTTGTTTAGGAACTGTCAGACTTTTCCATAGAGGCTGCACCATTTTACATTCCCACCAACATGCATGAGGGCTCCAATTTCTCCACATCTTTACCAACACTTATTTTCCTGGTAATTGTGGTAACTCATTGTGGTTTTGATTTGCATTTTGCCAATGACTGATAATATTGAGCATCTTTTCATGTGCTTATTAGCTGCATGTATATCTTATTTGAAAAATAGCTATTTAAGTCCTTTGGCAATTTTTGAGTTGTGTTGTTTAGGGTTTTTTTTTGTTGAGTTGTAGTAATTATTTATCTATTCTGAATATTAATCCCTTATCAGATATATGATATGCAAATATTTTTCCCATTCTATAAAGTGTTGTTTCACTCTCTTGATAGTCTCCTTTGACCCATAAATGTTTCTAATTTTGATGTAGTCCAATCATCTATTTTTTTCTTTTATGCTTTGTGCTTTTGGTGTCATATACAAGAAATCATTGCCAAAGCCAATATCATGAAGATTTTCCCATTGTCTTCTAAGAGTTTTAAAATTTTAGCTCTTACATTCAGGTCTTTATATTTAGGCCCATTTTAAGTTAATTTTTGTATACATCCTTCTATCTTTTCATTCTTCCTTTTACCTGAAAAAGACTTGTTGAGGTCCTACTATATGCCATACATTGTATGGGATATAGTGAGGGAGACAATTAAGTCTCTTCCCTCCCTTGTGGAGCTTACATTCTAGTGAGAGGAAACAGACAACAGACATCTATCAAATCTGTAAGTAAGATACAAATGAAATCATTTCAAATAATGATTAGTAGTATGAAGGGAAACCTAGGTAATGAGATGAAGAATGATTTCACAGAGACCAGTGCGAAGGGAACTTCAGCAAGGGTGGTCAGAGAAGCCCTCTGACTGCAGATGGAGGCAGCCACATTAAGATCTGGGAGAAGCGTTCCTGGCAGAGGGGAAATACCTTTCACCCTGAGACAGGGGGAAGATGACTATTTTCAAGCTACTGAAAAGGTACAGTTGGGGAAAGTGCCATGAACTAATGGGAGAAGAGCCGAGCTATTGTGAGTAGCCGTCAGATGAGGGTGGCGCCAGAGGCCATGGTCTTGTTCTATGTTCAGTGGGAAGTCGTGGGAGAGCCTGAAGCCTGGAAATGTCATGAGTAGATTGATACTGGGAAAAAACTCGCTCTGGCTGCTGTGGGGAAAATGACCTCTAGGGGGCAAGAGTGGAGCAAAAGTGAAAACTAGACCTTGAAGAGAGACCTTTCAGGTAGGACAGAGAGAAGTGTGAACGTGACCTAGACTTGGGTTGTGGAAGAACAGGAGGGGAGGAGTGGTCGGATTTGGGATTTATTTGGAGGTAGATTGACAGACTTGCTGCTGGATTGAACTTGTAAGGAAGTAAGAGGAATCAAGGATGACTCCTATGTTTTCACCTGTGTGACTGGGTGTCATTTCTGAGATGAGGAAAAATGGGGAGGGAGGGAGAGTCAGAGTTCCGTCTCGCGCATGTGAATTTTGAGATGCCAACATCCCACCACCACCACCGTATTCACTAATTCAACAAGAACCTGTGTACTGTGTGTCAAGCCCTGTGGCAGGTGTTGATCAGAGAATGAAAACAGCCCTGCGCTCACGGAGCTGCCTCTTCCACCAGGTATACTCCCAAACAAGCTTATCACAGTGAAACAGAAACACCCATTAAAAAGAAACCAAAAAACTGGCACGTCTTAATTTCGTTTAGGCCCAGACATTTGGACACAGGGTAGTCATTATAATATCTTTTGATCCCTTGTCCCAGAGGGAGGGATCAAGGAGCCACTGATGGAAGTATAACTAGCAATAGCACGTGCTGTGTCTCTTTGCTAACTCAATGTAATAATCATTGGAGAAATTAAGCAGACCACTGAATTTGTTTGGGAAGGTAGAGATTAAACCTTAGTTAATATTTAAAAAGGAGTCACTTTTTGCCCGTAGCCAGAAAGTTAATCCCCTAATGAATGTACCTTAAGTCCAAGTTACAAAATATACAGTCTTTGAAGTCAAGAGTGGCCAGGTTTGATTTTCCCTGGCAGCACATGCCGTTCCTGGGACAGTGCTCCCCACACACAGAGAACCTGGCAGAGGCTGATGACCAGCATGGTTTGGTCACTCACCACAGAAGGTATTTTTCCCAAGGTTGGTTGGTTCTTTACATGTGGGCAGAAGGCTTTTGCAAGGGCATACGACAAGGACAATGGCTTTTGAACGTTTGGCGGGAAAAAGGTGTCTCCTGATACACTTCTGAGTTGGAGGTCAGCTATACCGCAAAGCAAACAAGAAATTTGACTTTTAGAGGTATAACTATTATCAAGTCGTTGTTTCCTATGATCCAGTTAATTACATAACCTAGTAGCTTTTACAGACTGTCTTTCCAAAGTCCTGCATAACACCCTTTGTTTACTGTTTCAGGAAAGGGTCACCAAGCTTGCACCACGCCCTCAGTCAGAAGAGGATCTGTCTGCTCTGTTTGAAGCTTCAATGAAACTGTATTAATTTTCATTTTCACTGAAAGAATTACCATTGGCCACCATAGTTCTGAAAACAGAAGTTAATCTAGCCAGAGCTTTGTCTTTTCATCTCCACATGTAATTTGCCTGTTTGCAGTTTGAATGTGATATAAATTTATCCTGCAGAAGATTCCTTGATGCTCAAAGTAAAGCTATTTCCATAAAATAGGCTGGACAAATCTCCACCATGTGCAACATTGGGCCAGACCTCAGGAGTCCGTGTTCCTGCCCCAAACCTCACAGACTGCCACTGCTCCATTTATCAAATGGGTAAATCCATTTATCAAATGGGTAAAAATTCAGTATGTATCAAAAAGGTAAATGTATATATTCTATGTCCAATCTAGAAACTTATCCTACAGAAATACTAGCACAAGAAATATGTCAAGGATATTTCTGGCAGCACTGTTTTCTAATTATAAAAAATGTGAAAGAATCTAAATATTTATTAGTAGCATATAGATAAATCATACTATATTAAATAATGGAATGCTATTGTGCCATCAGTAAGAATGAGATAAATATACTGGATATATGTCTATGATACTGCAAAATTGGTAAAAAGTATCTTGCCAAATAATTATATATTAATATGGTCTGATTTTTACTTTTTCAATTACATATATACATACGTCTATATAGAAGAGAATATTTTTACATCAAAATATTAAAAGTTACCACTGGAAATAGTTACCACTGGAGATATGGAGTTTAGGGTATACAGAATTAAAAGAAAATGTTCATAGTTTCTCTTTTTATTTCATAAACATCTATATTGTTTTCTAACAATATACACTTTCTAATTTTAGAAGGGAGAGAGAAAAGAAAGAAAAATATTCACTTTACTGTTTTAGGTCAGACTCATCTCATTTTATAAAAATACTAGGAACTAATAATAGTTTAAGGTAAAAACAAATCCGAAAGGGTAAAATATTAGAGACTGATTCTCTGGTGAACAAATTGTCCTGTTGAGAAAAACACTAACATCCTACCTGGTAATTTCCTCTTTGGAAAAACATCTTTGGCACTCAGAATAAATTTACTCAAAAAGCAAGCATTGTTGTAGTTTACAGACTTCAGCCTAACAGGTACAATGTAAGCAGCATGATCATCTGTCCCATTATCCCATCCTGCAGAAGCTTCTATGGCTCATTTTCCTCACTATAGCTACCACTAGGTTTGCTACTCAAGCTTCAGGAGTCTAGATCTCAGGGTACTTATGGATTTATTCCTGTTTTAAATTGAATTAAAGGTTTAATCAAATGAGTACCATATATAATTACATCAGGATTTTTTAACAAATGGATGAGAAGGGCCTTCCTTGGTCATTCAGCCTGCCCAGGCCCATTTTCTCTACATAAATTCTTTCTTTCCTTGAGATCTTTTTAATAACATTTAAATAATTTTATTGGGAGTTTTCTCTAATTACAAACAAAATATGTTCAGTACCAAAAACTGGTAGTGCAAAGACAAACACAAAAGGAAATATTTGTTCATATTGCACCACCCAAAAGATAGCTACTGTTAAAAATGGGTATGTGTCCATTATTATATATATTATAGATAGCTATATATGTATATATATTTTTTTTCTTAGAAATGGCATCAGTAAGTTATAGTTTTAATTCTTACAGAACATTCAGATTCTTTATACCAAGGGCCCTAATGAAAATCACAAAATGCATTTGGCATAGCAAAAGCATATCTGTGTCTCTCCCACACACACACCCAAAAAAGTCCTAGAATTCATGTAAATATTCTACGAGGTCGTGTGGCATCATTAGAACACCATCAGGTAAAAGCCCTGGGTTCTGCTCCAGTTCCTTGGTCTGTCTGAGTCTTAGGTTATTCAACCAAGTCCTCATCCAGCTTGAAAATGCTATAACTAGATTTTATGTATTACCTAATTCTCAGTGTGGGATTTTGAGTTTGGGACATTTAATGTAAAATAATTTGAGATATAAGAATGCATTCAGACTCTTATATGTTCAGTGCCTTTACCACCAGTAGCCAGATGCCTAAATGTGACTCACCAGGAAGAATGTGTGGTATTCATACTGATGATGACTCTGTAGAGGAAGGATTTAAAGGTCAAGCATGAAGAAACAGATTCAGTAATCTTTCATGTTTTTTATCTTAATGTCCATCATTTTGACCCTTACAATTTGAGAATATTTAAAAGGTATGTTTCTTCCCAGCTATTTAAAAAGTATGAGATAAGAGATTAGACCCATTTCTATAAACCAAACATTTTGATGTTTCTGAGAAAAGAATTGTGCATTTTTCTAAGTCAAACTCTTTTTTTCTATTGATTTCTTTTAAAAGATCAAAAAGTTCTTAGGAGTCATAACTCCATTTCTACAGATTAATTCATTTGTTGAGGCAAAAGAAGTGGTTTTCAAAAGTTTGTCAAATATTATTTTCATAAAACCATCATATATGGTGGCATTTTCACTTAAAATACATGTACATCCCAAATTTATCTCCTGATACAAAATATTGATTTGTTTCAAGGAGGTTATGTTTCTGTGATTTTTGGCAAGTGCCACAATAAATAGCTGACTCATTCTGCACTCCTGTCCCTTCTCCGTGCACAGGGAGGACTGTACTGAGCTTGACATTGTCTGCGTAGACATGGACATAGCTGTGGGGTGTTTTCTAGTGGTCAGTGAAGTAGGTCTGCTCTTGTAAAATACAGCCAAGTACAGTATCAAAATAGAGCAAAATTTGCTTTTCTGGCCTTTTAACCCTAAGAAAGATTAATGGTTGTTTGGATTAGAAACTGTACCCTAATGAGGGACTGTTGCCTCAGGGGAGTGGATATGAGAAGGGGGACTGTTCACCTCCAGGTCAACATTGCACAGGCTGCCTTTTCTCTGATGACCCGCAACCCCCAGTGGGGACAGCTGCCCAGGCTCCTCCATTAAACGCCTGATCCTCAGGGAGCTGTGGAGGAGGCCAGGCCACATCCCAGCCATCACCATCACAATGGCCTGCGGAGGATGGTCTCCAGGGAGAGCCACACTTTGAATGGGCAGAAATTGGTTCTTGAAGCCCTAGGTTGAATTACTAGCAGCTGGGGGTGGGAGGGTTCAGCTTCTTGTGCTTTTATTCCACTGTTTCCAACCACCTCCCCTCCAACTCTCAGAGTAAATGCATACCTCCCCACTAAACTGCAACAACTGTTCACGATTTTGTCCCATATGCAATCCCTCATGAAGGACGTGCGCAGGACAGCTAACTTTAAAGTAATCCCATTTCATTCTTTCTGGCTTTAAATATTGACTTTTTAATTTGGGTGCTTCTAATTGGCTTTCCAGTTTATAAATTTGGAAACTGATTAAAATAATCATGATTGATGGAAAATAAAAAAAATTTACCATCATACCATTACCCAAACACAGCTGTTATTATCTGATATATTTCCTTTCCATTTTTTTCATTTGGTTGGTATAATCTTCAGCTCTTTTCCATTAATGCTTGACATTTTCAGTATTTTCTGTGTTACCACCATTATTTAAAAAGAAACAGTTTACTGAGTAGGAATTTAATAATTTATTCTTATTTTAGGGTATCAGATTGCTTTCAAATTTTTACTCCCACTGATACTATAGCAATGAATATAGTGTGTGGGCTTTTTAATATTCTCAATTAATTTCTTCAGTTAATTAATCCCCAAATTGAATTTTTATGTTACAAGATGAATGTTTTTATGGCTCTTGATTCATATTATCAATTATATATTTCTCACTACTATTTTAAGTGTCACTTCCCTTCTTCAGTCTTACTTCTCTTCAAAATAAATAGTAGTGCAAAGCAAAAAGAAATGAAACAGAGTTCATGTGGAATGACAGGCCTAGACTATTTGTGCAGACTTTCAAAAATCAACAGTTTTTTTTTCTTTTATGTCAACATATAATAATGCACATGAACAGATTAAAATTTTCAAATAAACTTACTTTGATGTTATATGACTGCCTCTTAAGTAAAACTACAGATCACCAAATCTACTTTTCTTTGTCACCACTTACATTTTTTTCCCTTCTAAGAACCCTCAATGGGCCCCCAAGCCTATGGACCTGTGTTACTATATTCAGGGTCCTCAATTTTGCTGGCCAAGAAAAAAAAAAAAACAAGGAAGAGTAACACATAAATATAAATGTTCTTCTCTATAAGGGCATTCCACAATCATTCGGGCCTGTGAGTGACCAGATGGCCACGTCGGGAGGGCGATGAATGACACCAAACAGCCATGCCTGCCCAGGTCCCCGAGGCTCTAACTTGCTCCTCTCATCAGAAACCTCTCCAAGATTTGCAGTGGTGCACACTGGTCCCATGACGGCTTTGGAAACATTTACTAGAGACCGATATGAACTTTATACCAAGCACTGCATGTGAGAAAAGAAGGCTTGTAAGGCAACATATAAATGAAAAGATATCCAAATAGTACCAACAGGCTGGTGTGACCACTTGAGTAAGGACAGGATAATTTTCTTTGATTTTTAAAAAAATTTTATTAAGGTATCATTGATATACACTCTTATGAAGGTTTCACATGAAAAAACAATGTGGTTACTATATTCACCTATGTTATTGTGTTTCTTTGATTTTTAACATTTCATTTAACCATAGCTCAGTACCTTGACAAAGTAATTTCCCAAAGGAAGAAAGGAAACAAAGATCTGGGGAAAGGAAGACAATTGGGGTTCTGAAAGCAGGGTGATGAGGGCTGAGGGATGATTACAGGAACATGACATTCAGTAGTATTTTTTAATCAAACTATTGACACTTTATAAACACTAATATCAACTCTTGCAGAATGCACTGGCTTGCTTACTGGGGCACCTATCATAGCTGGCAACAATAAACCAAAGACAATAATGATAGTTTATTTATTGAGTAATTTATTGCACCCTTAAATTAAGCCAGGCCCTTTATCAAGGATATCAAGGATCAGAGGCATTACTCTTATTCTTTCTGTACAAATGAGGAAACTTAAGACTCAGGTGAAGAGTAGAAACAAAAAAACTGTCCAACTGCACACAGTGAGTAAGTGGCAAGGCCAGCACACAGGCCCAAGGTTGTCCTGACCCTACATTCCCAGCCACCAAGTTCACTGCCTCGCAAATGCCTTCTGTTCTCTGAGAATTTTTTTAATCACATTTAAACACTGTATCCACTTAAGTACAACACAGTACCTTGAATATAGCAGGGAGCCTGCAAATATTTGTAGAATAGAGGACTACATGTCATTAAGAGAAGAAAAAAGAGAAGGAAGAATAAAGTTTCTGCAAGCCTTTGACATGTCAGAAAGAAGTCAAGCTGGCCATGCGGGTGGCCACACGGAAAGCTATGAGAGGTAACAGAGCCGCCTCAGGGGCAAATCCCTGCCTCCTGCTAACTGAGTAGCCTTGGGTAATTCACTTATACTCTCAGAGCACAAACTTAACTTATAGGGCAGTTATAAATAACCATAGGAAGCAATGTATGGGAAACGTCTAGAACAGTGCCCGGCCCACAGTCCTCCCTGGTAAGTGTTCTCTTCCCTGTCCTCATGCTAAGCTGGCAGGAAGCCTTTCATCCAGCAGCTATCAGATCACT